AAACATTCACTATATAAACTGAGAAATGTTTGAAGATTTTGCTTTCCTTTGAATGACTTCATGAATATTTGGTTGTAGTCGCACTGTTTCTGAGAACTGCTGTACATCTGTGTTGCATGGAGTCACCCAACTTCTGGCCCCTGTGATCAGGTATTCCAGCCCAGGATGATTGGACCACATTCCACAGGTCTTCTCTATTTCTTGGTTTTGCCTCAGAAACGGCATTTTTGATGTCACCCCACAAGTTTTCTATTGGATGAAGATCCGGGGATTGGGCTGGCCACTCCATAACGTCCATCTTGTTGGTCTGGAACCAAGATGTTGCACGTTTACTGGAGTGTTTGGGGTCGTTGTCTTGTTGGAACACCCATTTCAAGGGCATTTTCATCAGTCCACAAAATGTTGCGCCATTTCTCTTTAGGCCAGTCAATGTGCTCTTTGGCAGATTGTAACCTCTTCAGCACACGTCTTTTTTCCAACAGTGGGACTTTGCGGGGGCTTCTTGCAGATAGCTTGGCTTCACATAGGCGTCTTCTAATTGTAACAGTCCTCACAGGGAACTTTACACCTTTTTTCATCTTCCTGGAGCTGATTGTTGGCTGAGTCCGCGCCATTTTGGCTATTCTTCTATCCATTCCAATGGTAGTTTTTCGCTTTCTTCCACGTCTTTCAGGTTTTGGTTGCCATTTTAAAGCATTTGCGATCATTTTAGCTGAGCAGCCGATCATTTTCTGCACTTCTTTATATGTTTTCCCCTCTCCAATCAACTTTTTAATCAAGGTACGCTGTTCTTCTGAACAATGTCTGGAACTACCCATTTTCCTCAGAATTTCAGAGAGAAATGCACTGTAACCAGCATGTCCAACATTTGCTGCCTTCCTTCCTTAAATAAGGGCAATAATTGCCACCTGTTTTTCAAAGAATGAATGACCTCACTAATAGAACTCCACACTGCTATTATTTTGAACACGCCCCTTTCAATGAGTGATTCAATGACACAGAATCAGCAGCATGCATGTCATGACTGTTGGGTCTGTTGGATTTCTATTACTCTACTACACCTGCTAGAAATTATTTGCCATGTAGAAATATCATTTCTACCAAAAACAGTGATTGATCCGGTTAGTGATGTCTGACTGCTATTATTTTGAACACAACTGTATGAATGTGAGTTAGGGACATTAGATTGTACACCCCTTGAGGGTTAGGGACTGATGTGAATGTACAATATACAGGGCTTTCTTTCTGCCGGAACGCGGCGGTACTGCGTTCCGCCACCTTTTTCTTCTTGTCCCCGCTCACCGACTGCCTCTGCAGAGCTGACAAGCTATGCAGAGCAGCGAAAGTGACAGGTGCCGGACGCGGCTTGTTTATGTCATGCTTGCGCGTGCCCGGCACCTGTCACTGCCGCTGCTCACAGCCGGTGAGCGGGGACATGCACGCTTTCACCCCCCCCCCTCTACCGCCAGCGTGTAAACATCGGGGGCGCGCGGCCACCCCCATAGGAAAGGTGTATCTTAGTACACCCGGCGGTGCGCGCTGACGTCATCACGCCCTCTGCTCGTCGATCCTACCATAGCGCGGATCGTCAGCATCAGGTAAGGAGCGGCGATACAATTTTTTCTCGCTTTTCTTGCTAATGTGGGGGGGGGCAGTGTTACTCGCTATTCTTACTAATGTGGGGGGGGGGCGGTGTTAATTCCATACATTTACTTTTATAGCCCCTCCCAAATTTTACTTGCATTCCTGTTCTCTAAAGGGGTGGTCCTAGGGTTTGATGGGGGCGTGGCCAGGTTTGGGTGGGGGAGTTCCACCACCTTTCCTCTGAGAAAAAAAGCCCTGACAATATATATATGTAAACTGACGGCGCTATACAAGTACCTGAAATAAATAACAAAGATGAAGCGGCGTTGTGGCAGCGAAGGAGCGGCGTTGTGGCAGCGAATCAGCAGGGCCCGTATGGTTGCTCTTTCAATGACAAGAGATGGCTTTCAGTGCTCCAGCTCGAAAAGTAACAACTTGTGAAATGTAAGAAGCCGTCTCCACTGACCGCACGACCGCAATGTTTTTTTAACTGTCAGAGCCGAGGATCTCTGTTAAATTTGTACTCAAAGCAGAGATTTTGCAGTTTTTATAAAATCGCAGAGCCAGCATCTCCCTGCATACAAATAACAAGGCCTTCCGATTTAATGACCAGGGCAGACAATTAAGCAGTTCTACTCGTTTCGCCGTTCGCTGCGCTCTTTGCTTGGTCACCGGAGAAACCTCTCCTCGTTACTTCAATCATCCAACCACAAAACCGCTCTGTTTTCTTGCGCATACCAACAGATTTTACAGCCTCGCTGCCGTGTCCACACGTCATGTGTACAAGCTATGCATGCATTTCTACTAAATGAGCTCTGTTTACAAGACGAGGGAATTATAAAAAAAGAAAAAAAGAAAAAAAAAAAAAAAGAAGCAAACAAGATGGGTGAGGAATGTAATGAACCAAAGATTTCCACTTTAGGGTTCATGTACACTGCAGCTGATGAACTCACGTTTACGAGCCGCTTGGCATTTTTTCAGCAGCCCCTGAACTCTCCCTAATGTTTTCCTATGTGTCCATCTACACATCGTCGTTTACAGTCGTTTTTATGAACGCACCAAACTTGCGTTCAGCAGTCGATTTTATCAGCGTTTCAAATGCAAAACGCTTGTAAATGTGGCAAATCGCGGTTATAAGTGTTTAAAATTTTTTTTTTTAACTCTTCCAGTTCCCGATGCTGTCCAGAGCCTTTTTTCATCATGAAAAATGCATGCAAAGCGTTTTCAAGGTACTCAGATGGACAAAAACACTGAACACAGGATGTTCCTACTAAGCTTGTCGCACATTGTAATGACCAATTCACACCTCAGACCTCTCCCACCCTTGGAAACAAAAGATATGTTATTGACCATTCACACCTCAGACCTCTCCCACCCTTGGAAACAAAAGATATGTTATTGACCATTCACACCTCAGACCTCTCCCACCCTTGGAAACAAAAGATATGTTATTGACCATTCACACCTCAGACCTCTCCCCACCCTTGGAAACAAAAGATATGTTAATGACCATTCACACCTCAGACCTCTCCCACCCTTGGAAACAAAAGATATGTTATTGACCATTCACACCTCAGACCTCTCCCACCCTTGGAAACAAAAGATATGTTAATGATCATTCACACCTCAGACCTCTCCCACCCTTGGAAACAAAAGATATGTTAATGACCATTCACACCTCAAATTCCTCATGAAGACCCCCTGCCATGTGGCTTTAATGACTCCCTCCAACAGACACCTTTCCCACCCTTGGAAACAAAAGAAATGTTAATGAGCAACTCGCACCTAAGCTAATCTTAACACATACTGCTGTCTCTGCTTCTACTCTCTGTATTTCTCTGAAACAGTCTGAAATAGTTAATTTACCACTTTTCAGTGCATTCTGGGCATTTGGGAAGTTCTCCTGTGCTTAAAAAACGCTTGTAAACGCAAACGCACATAAAAGTGTTACGCAAACGCAGCTAAACAGACATTTTTAAACCTATGTTTTCCAGCAGTCGGTTTCCATAGTTTAGAAGTGTCCCGTGTACATGGGGCCTTAAAAGAGAAATTCCAGAAAAGAAAAAAAAAAATTTTTTTTGTATTGTAAAATAATTTTCTTGAAGTCCATATAGCACATGTGTCATAAGCAAGGCCCTCCGGGCTGCCAGGCCGTTTCATGTTGCCCTCGCACCTCTCCTGCAGCTGTCTCAACAGCACACCTACCATGTCTCAACAGATGGCAGCAAAGAGCAGGACAGAACTCCTCCGCCAGTCCGTGCAGTCATGGAGAGGCTCATCTCTGGAGTCGGAAGAAGAGAGGAGCGCAGGACTCCTCCTACAGATTCTGCACCTTCTCTGTCCAGCCACAGCACTCCAACATCTCCGTCTCCCGTTTTCAGGCACTCTGGCGATGACAGGAAGGGGGGCACTCTGGCGATGACACCTGATGTGAACCTGGGGGGCAATCTGGCGATGACACCTGATGCGAAGGGGGGCACTCTGGCGATGACACCTGATGCGAAGGGGGGCACTCTGGCGATGACACCTGATGCGAAGGGGGGCACTCTGGCGATGACACCTGATGCGAAGGGGGGCACTCTGGCGATGACACCTGATGCGAAGGGGGGCACTCTGGCGATGACACCTGATGCGAAGGGGGGCATGTGACAGGCGTAAACCCAGAGATGGAGAAATAGTAGGGGAGCTGCCACAACCAAGGCCCTCTAACCATGGAAGTTTCTCCTCAAGCAGAGAGTGGCACTTAAATGATGAACCTCTATGCTGCCAAGTTGTGATCGTCCATTGAGAAGATTTCAAAGGCCATACCTTGGCTGTAGAAGACACACACCAGTCACAAAATTAGTGTTCCTAGACTTTTTTTTTTTTTTTTTAAGGTAATGGTTTAGCTGGTGCCAAGTGAAAGTCAGGTCAAAACAATGACCCACAGAATGGTTCCCTGATGACTCAGTAATAATCGGATTCGGGAGAGCAGACTCAAGAACTAAATTAGGAGATACGTCCATGAAAGGGGTCCTCCCAAGGCTGGGAAAGGTATCCAACCCATCATCTACTAGAGACCAGCAAATCGAATCCAGATCTTTTTAGTCCAAAGAGTTTTTCACCAGAATCCTTAACCACATGCTGTCCGGACGCTCTATACAAATGGCCGGACAGTGGCAGTCCAGGGGCGGGTTGCCGTTCATAAACAGCGCCCGCCATTTTGGACTGGGAGCACGCAGCACCGTGATCCAGTGCCCACTGTGTTCTCCGGACACAGGGGAACACCGATCGTTGTACAGGACCTCTGTGTGAGGTCCCGATCATGTGATCACTGATTGGCCAATCAGTGATCACATGCAGAGTAGTAAGCAAGATGTCATTTCTGACATCATTGCTTACTACGTGTGATATCTGTGAATGATCACAGAGGTCACATGGTACAGGGCTATTCACAACAGCCTTGTACCATGTGACAAGCTGTGACCAATCACAGCTCACACAGTAGTTCTTAATGGCGGCAAGAATGCAGACAGAGAGAAGGAGAAATGATTGCTTTTACAGCCTTTATGGGTATAAAAGCAATCAGTGTAAAAAACAATAAAATCTTCATCACCCCTCATAAGTAGTACAGTGTCACCATGCTAGGGTGACAGTATGTAGAAAAAAAAAAAAAATAGTAATTTTTTTACTAAAAAGATATCTGAATAAAATTTGGCCAAGATTTATGATGAAAGATTATTTATTTGCAAAATTTTATAAGAAAACTCCTTTTCTCCAAATTTTTGGACTTTTCCATTTATATAGCAAAAAAAAAAAAAAATCCCAGTGGTGAATAAATACCACCAAAATAAAGCTTTATCTGTCTCAAACAAATGCTAAAAAATTCATATGGGTACAGTGTTGCATGACCGCGCAATTGTCATTCAAAGTGTGATAGCGCTGAAAGCTGAAAATTGGCCTGGACAGGAAGGGGGTGAAAGTGTCCGGACTGGAAGTGGTTAAGAACTACCTTCAGTGTAAATCAGCCCCTATGTGATTAATTTCAAAACAAAAAAAAGAAGAAAAAAAATCCTCGACCAAAATGAATCTGGTCACAAAAGCATGCGACGCCTCTCATCATGAAGATGTTTATATTGGAGTGTATTTCATAAATTCCATTACAGTAAGCTGTACACTTGAGAAATGGGCTTACTTTGGAGGAAGGTTCTTATGCAAACGGAACACAGAATAAACATGGGAGTATCAACATTTTACGGAACATCCACTCTACTCTGCTAAAAGGGGAAAAAAAATCCATTACATACAAGACTTCCACTATAGTCCAGTGCCATTTTCTTCATTTTTCTTGCACCCTAAATCAGTCACTGTTAAGGAGATACTGTGACCAGACTGTTCCAAGAAATCTCTTCCTGAAACCTTATATGTACCTTAACATAACAAGAACACGTAAGAACGTTAACTACTTACACCCACCGGTGCCTTACTAGGTCCACCTTGCTAGTGCCAAGAAAAATCTCCCCCACACCATTCCACCACCACCACCAGCCTCAACCACTGATGGATCCATGCTTTCATGTTGTTTACACCAAATTCTGACCCTACCATCTGAATGTCACAACAAGCAGTCTGTCTATTCTCCTCTGACATCAACAAGACATTTTCATCCACACAACTGCCACTCGCTGGATATTTTCTCTTTTTCGGACCATTCAGCAACAATACTGAGGTAGGCCGTGGCATTTAAATGATGCTCAATTGGTACCCAAAGTGTGCCAAGAAAATCTCCCCACACCATTACCACAACCAGCCTGAACCGATGATACAAGGTAGGATGGATCCACCACACCATGACACCACCACAACCAGCCTGAACCGATGATACAAGGCAGGATGGATCCACCACACCATGATACCACCACAACCAGCCTGAACCGTTAATACAAGGCAGGATGGATCCACCACACCATGACACCACCACAACCAGCCTGAACCGTTGATACAAGGCAGGATGGATACACCACACCATGACACCACCACAACCAGCCTGAACCGATGATACAAGGCAGGATGGATCCACCACACCATGACACCACCACAACCAGCCTGAACCGTTAATACAAGGCAGGATGGATCCACCACACCATGACACCACCACAACCAGCCTGAACCGATGATACAAGGCAGGATGGATCCACCACACCATGACACCACCACAACCAGCCTGAACCGTTGATACAAGGCAGGATGGATCCACCACACCATGACACCACCACAACCAGCCTGAACTGATGATACAAGGCAGGATGGATCCACCACACCATGACACCACCACAACCACAGCCTGAACCGTTAATACAAGGCAGGATGGATCCACCACACCATGACACCACCACAACCAGCCTGAACCGATGATACAAGGCAGGATGGATCCACCACACCATGACACCAGCACAACCAGCCTGAACCGTTGATACAAGGCAGGATGGATCCACCACACCATGACACCACCACAACCAGCCTGACCCATTGATACAAGGCAGGATGGATCCACCACACCATGACACCCCTACCACCAGCCTGAACCGTTGATACAAGGCAGGATGGATACACCACAACCAGCCTGAACCGATGATACAAGGCAGGATGGATCCACCACACCATGACCCACCACAACCATCCTGAACCTTTGATACAAGGCAGGATGGATCCATGCTTGCATGTTTACATCAAATTCTGACCCTACTATCTGAATGTTGCAGCTGAAATTGAGACTCATCAGACAAGGCAACGTTTTTCCAATCTTCTATTGTACAATTGTGGTAACTCTGTGCGAATTGTAGCCTCTGCTTCCTGTTCTTTGCTGGCAGGAATGGCACCTGGTGTGGTCTTCTGCTGCTGCTATCTGCTTCAAGGTTGGACGTGTTGTGTGTTCAGAGATGGTATTCTGCATACCTTGGTTATAACAAGGTTTTTTGAGTTACTGTTGCCTTTCCATCATCTCGAACCAGTCTACCCATTCTCCTCTGACATCAACAAGGCATTTTCCTACACACAACTGCCACTCGCTGGATATTTTCTCTTTTTTGGACCATTCTCTGTAAACCCTAGAGATGGTTGTGCGTGAAAATCCCAGTAGATCAGCAGTTTTTTAAATACTCAGACCAGTCCGTCTGGCACCTACAACCATGCCACGTTCAAAGTCACTTAAATCCACTTTCTTCCCCATTCTGATGCTCAGTTTGAACTTCAGCAAATCGTCTTCACTACGTCTAGATGCCTAAATGCTTTGAGTTGCTGCCATGTGATTGGCTGATTAGCAATTTGTGTTACCAAGCAATTGAACAGGTGGACCTAATAAAGAGGCCGGTGAGTGTATACTTTCACAGTTGGTAAGGTTGAATAAAGACACCAGTCCATCTAGTTCTACCTGTGTGCATGTCTCTACCACTTCCCACACCCTGTATATTGTGTTCAATAAGATGTCCACCTAAAGGTTTTTTTTTTTAAAATAAGCGACACTTCCCACTGAAACCACAGATTGTGAAAGGGAGCTCCACGTCCTTACCACCGACAGTAAAGAACCTCTACGCAGTTTAAGGTTTAACTGCTTTTCATTCAACTTGTAAACACCCCCCTTATGTAGTTACCCAAAAGCCAGGTGACTAGTGTTGGGGGCCACCATTTTTTTTAATTATATATTTTTTTAGATTTTCTTTAAAAAAAATTACAAAACCACCATAAATTCTCATTACATCGTACACATACACTTTATCCCCATTCCCTCCCCCCCCTCCCGATACAAAAAAAAAAAACCCTGTCCAGTTTCATCTTACCCTCTCTTTCCCCTCCTATTAATCTAGTCATGTATATAGATCTCTTTAATCATTTAAATTCTCTGATTCTACTATCGGGGGACCTTTCATCTTTAAATATTTTTCTGATGTTTTAAACTCATACCACCTACCCCAAATCTATCTAAATTTTTCCATTTCATCTTTCTCCATGTAACAAAGTTCCTCCATCCTGTTAACATATTCTATTCTACCTATCCAATCCCTCATAGTTGGAGGATCCTGATCTTTCCAAAACTTAGGGATTAACTGCCTCCCGCCCGCCATATAAGGTAATGACGGGCGCAAGGCGGTTCTCTCGTTCTGGGAGGATGTCATATGACGTCCTCCCACTCTAACCGGGAGCGCGCAGTTCGGCAATCAGTGGTGCAGTGGTCCCATGGACACAGCAGATCACCGATCAACGGAAAGATGTTGGCTCAGTCATGTGATCAATCACAGCTGATCGCATGTAAATAGGGAAATGCTGGTTACACTGTTCAACAGGTAAAAAGTTTTGGGCATAAAATTAGCTAATCTTACATAATTTTGGGGTGCTGAAAACGAAAATGACCCTAAAAAATGTTGATTGGCTCTAGTTTCCATGATATATTCACCCATCTAATGACGTAAGCCATTCAAAATTATGATGCAACTTCAGCTGCATATTGCGCAATTGATACTGGTGACCAATAGAAAATTGCATGTATACTGAGATGATGCTATATTAGCCTTTAATTGCATCACTTCACTGCATAAAAGCTGCAGTATCTGTAGCTGATTGTAGTTCGACAGCGTCTTTACATTTCGTTTTATGCTTATATAGGCTACTCAGTAATGCCTCGAACTTGTGTGAATAAAGCAGATAATTTCTGCTATATCTGCGGTGAAATAACTTTTATCTCACAAAAAAGGAGGATAACAGGAATGATTAAGAAAGCCTACAACTTGTATTTTGGCTGCAAGATAGGAGACCAGGACAAGAGCTGGGCACCACATATATGCTGCAATTCTTGTGGGACGGCACTGGAGCAATGGTTGAATGGAAAAAAGGCATCTATGCCTTTCGCTGTGCCAATGATTTGGAGAGAGCCAACAGATCATGTTAGTAATTGTTACTTTTGTATGGTGCCTCCAACAAAAGGGCTAAATAAGAAGAAAAAGTTATCTGTGCACTATCCAAATATTCCATCGGCAATACGTCCAGTTCCTCATGGAGAGGGGCTACCAATTCCTAAAGCACCAGAATCCTTCGTGGTTGAGTCAAGTGAGGAAGAACCTGAAGCGTGTAGTCATCAACCGTCAACCTCACATGACCCAGACTTTCTTCCATCCACACACCCACTGAACCACACCTCATTACACAAGTGGAATTGAGCGATCTTATCAGAGACCTGGATCTTCCGAAGAACAAGGCAGAGCTTTTGGGGTCAAGACTACAACAGTGGAATCTCCTAGCAAGTGATGTTCGTACGTCTTTCTACCGTCATCGTCAGAAAGATCTGATCCCATTCTTCGTCCAGGAAGGTGATATTGCTGTATGTAACAATGTTCATGGTTTAATCTCAGCCATCGGCGTATGCTATGATCCCGATGAGTGGAGGCTGTTCATTGATGCTTCAAAGGCGAGTCTTAAAGCTGTTTTGCTCCATAATGGCAATCAGCTGC